CCCCTGGAGGCGGTGTTTGTCCCCCCCCCCCCCGCAGAAGCCGCGCGGGGCCCGAGTCCTGAGCCGACGGCCGAGGGTCTGACCGAGCCGAGGAGCCGGGCCGTGGCCGCCGATGCCCCTGCGTCGTAGCGTTCTGCGGATTCAGAGATGGACGTGGGCAGACTCCGAGGCGGCGGCTCGGAACGCGGCGCGAGTTGGTCCCCGGCTGCTGCTGCTGGGGCTGCGGGCGAGCGAGAGGAGGCGCTGGGCCCCGCCGGCCCGGGGAGTCAGGCGGCAGAGCGGCGGGGGGACGCAGGCTTGCCTTGCGCCCTGTGTACGGGAACCGGCTCTAGCGAGAAGCGGTTGAACGGGCCGCACTCCGACAGAACGGACTTCTGCAGCCGCGAGTCGAACGGCCGTTCGGCGGGAAGTTGTGTGAGGCAGAGCAAAGTTAACAGGTAACTCCTGACGGCGTGTAGAGGCGATCGTCCTGTTGCTTGAAGTGACGTGCTTAACTTCAGCAGAGAGCTAACGTCAGCGTCGGGCACCTGGCATGGCTGGGATCCCGAGTTCTTCTCGGGACTCGCTTACTTCAGTACACCCGGGAAGCCTGCCTGAGTCGCAGACCGCGATTGTTATAATGGTCTCGCATGTAGGTTACATTGCTGCTGCATGGTTCCTCCTAAGCTCTTTGCCTAATTCTTAGATGGGCTGATGCGGATACCTCATTGACCCTTTTGTGGCTTCCTTATATACTTACTCTAACGACGGCGTTCAGCAGTAGTAAAGCAGAAATTACTTAAATGATGTTTTTCCCAAAAGCTCAGAAATGCAATGAGGTGCTAATTTCTATTTTATTTTATAATTAAAAAAAAAAAAAGGCAGTTCAAGAGCTATAATTTATGCAATGTTGAACTGGTACGTAAAGTTAACATGCAATGCTTGAACTTATTTAGTGATTTGTATAGTAAAAGAGTATGATACTAATAAAAATGCCAAATGGACAGATGTAAAATATGTACAATATTATGTAAAATGTTATGTAAAATAACAGTGTTCATATCTCATCTGTAGGATTAGAATCAGTCTGTGTTTTGAGGATATTGACTGTTTATTTTTCAGTCAGTGAAATAAGCAGAAGTAAGAAGAGGGAAATTTTGCTTATTAATAACCTTGCAGCTGTTGAGGCCAACGACTCTGTTAAAAGTATAATGAAAGACTCCTGAATCACGTGAGGAGTGAAATCTTGGCATCAGGTGTATTTTGAGGACCTCGCATTTCTCTGAAGAGCTTACAATCAGATGCAGACTTCAAGGCTAGAAAGACATATCCATAAAGAATCAGCATCTATTCATGATTTTAATACCAGTGAGATTTAGAAAACCTAGAGTAAACATCAGCTTATTTTTAGCTGCTAAGCATCTTCGCAAGCAGATTGGTTATGATGTGACTTTGCTATCCATGACGTGTTGGAGTTGGAAAGGAGGAAGGTAGAGGAGAAAAGATTAAGTAGCAAAGAAGTGAGAAAGATACAACAGGAAATATAGCAAATGAGCATTAGGACATTTCCAGATATTCTGTGTCTCTGCAGCCAAGCCCATAAAATGTTGATTTAGTGAATAATTTTAATTAGTTGACAGAAAAGTCATCTCTGGTAAAATTTAACCTCTGTTTTACAGTGAGCAGCTGAAATGGAGCCAGTCTCACAGAGATATGATGATGATGATCCAAGAAATGAAAAGGTGTTTGCCTGAAGAGAAAAGGAGTTCCAGCAAGCCCAGTACCATCAGTGCTCTCAACTATGCCTTGCAGTGTGTCCAACAGGTCCAAGGTAGGTGTGGAAACAAAATCTGGAAGTGTAGAAGCTATACAGCAGCTTAGTTTGAATAGACCCGTCTGGTGACAAATAACACTAAAACAAATGAAAGCATTCCAGTTAACCTGCAAACAACTGACTTTCGGAAGCACTGTGGGTTTGGGGTTTTTTTTAAATCTTTTCTATTGAAATGTCCACCTACTGCTTTTCTTTTCTTCAGAATCCTATAGCTGATAGGTGCCTACTAATAACTTTCTGTGTATACTGAAAAAACAGCATTCCCATCCCACTTTGAAAACTTATTGGATAGTCTGTGTTTTCCAATGGAACCAAGTAGCTAAAATGGTTCTTTTGCCATCACGTTCTGTCCTTTCTGCTTCCTCATGCTCGTTTTCTGTAACATAAATAGGTCACTCCAATAGTATAATCAGTATTCCTTTTTCCTTTGTCACTACACAGACCTTCCTCATCTCACCTTGGACTTCACCCAAAAGATGACAAAAGTACAAGGGCTGTAAGAAACACTCAAAATAGTCTCCTTACTGACTTCCTTGTGTTTGTTTTGCTTTTCCTGTTTTTTTTTGTTTTTTTTTTCTCCAATTAGCAAACAATGACTTTTTCCAGGCTCTGAATGACCGAAGAGTGTTTCAGACAGATGTGATGACGTACAGCATAGAAGAGTTGGTGGCAATTGCATCTGAACACACTCCAAAAAACACTGTAAGGAATTCAGGCGCACTCAAGGAGTTCATCACTTGCTGTTTCACTCTCTATTTAGTCTCCTTACACCGCTTTGTGGAAACAGAACGTGTAAAATTTAAAAGCCTTTAAGATTTAGCCAGATGAGCCTTTGTATTTTTAAAGGTAGAGCAAGACCACTTCTTATCTGTGCTGACTCCGGGTACTCAACGGCAGTACGTGAAGAAATACCTATTTTTCTTTTTTTCTTTTTTTTTGCCAGAAGCAACAAATATATTGGAGCATTCATTTACAGCACAGTAATCTCTTGAGACAGACTTAGCAGAAAGTCCATAGCAAGTCCATAGTTGTGAGGGACTTTGGTTTCTATTTGTACTCCTGGATTTAATTTTTTTTTTCCTTGATTTGCAGCATGTGTCATGCTTTCTGGCTCTGCTTCAAAGAAAAGAGTGTTTCTTGAGATTCAGTACTGTTACATGCTGTATCAGAAATATTGCAAATGCTTTCTAGTTGAAACGTTCTTGGAATATTTTTCTGTGTGGAGTTGTGGTGAACACTCTGAAATTTGGGGAGAAGTGTGGAGTGACAACCAGTCATTCTGGACAATGGCAGGCATCATTGTAATCTGTTTCAGTTTTGATACTGCAGTCTTATTAGCATTTGTAAATCACGGGTAAGCTACTATAGCACTGGAGATTGTAGTATCTCACGCACAACTTTAATTGGATGCTAACTTAAGAACACATTTTTGAACCTCTGTCTTAGGTTGTGGTGTGTGGTGGTTTGGGGTTGGTTTGTTTGTTTGGGTGTTGTTTTTGGTTTGGTTTGGGTTTTTTTATCCTTACAATATTGCTACCATGTGTTGGGGGAGGATTGCCTTTAACAATGTTTATTTTCCAGGACACATTTGTGGCTGTGTTTTCCTTGCTTTCTGGACGCATACTGCATATTTCTGAGCAGGCAGCATCCATTCTACACTGTAAGAAGAAAGTGTTGGACTCCTGCCGGTTTGTAGAGCTGCTTGTCCCTCAGGATGTGAGTGTGTTCTACACGCACACCGATCAGTCCCACCTGCCGCTTTGGAACATGGAAGGTCAAACAGGTGGGACTTGGCAATGCTCTTAAATGCTTTATGTGTCTTTCTGTCTTTGCAGAATGAGGATAGAACAGTAGTTCATTTTAAATGCTTATGCTAGCAATACACATCGGCAACACTTGTTCCCTTTCCACTTTGAAAACTGAGTACCTATGCAGGTAGTCCTAGCTAGCCTCCTAGGGGCTTAACTCTTACCTGTGGTAAGCAAAAGGCTTTTTTTTTTTTTTTGTGTACCATCTTACTCATTCCAAATACTGCCGCTTTTTAAAAAGACACTAAAGGTCTAGTTGTGAGTTCAAAGTTGTTTAATCTACATCTTATGCTTACTTAGGTGCTTTGTCTTTATGGTCCGCTTGCAGCCTGCTGTGAACATAGCTCACCGAACCCAAGTTTTAAGTTGACTTGCTATTCAGTGCTGGATGTGCCTAAATGGTGACTTTTGAGTCCATTGTTATTTGTGAGTAATTCGAATGTAGCTCCCATGCCAAGGCCCTGTCTTTTGTCCACTGAGCCTTAGGGCTGTTCTGGCATCAGAGCTGGGAAGTCCAAAATCCTTGCTACCAAAGGATGTGAGACATCAGAGGCTGCTAATGCTAATGTGCCAGGGGTTCCGCAACTTGGAAGCCAGGGGTGTGCCTACCTAGCAGAGCAGTGGCACCCCTATGGAGTTGTTGTTACTTTCTTGCTGTGAACTGAGTTTTCCTGTCCCCTTAATTCTTGACTGTATGTAGTTTTTGGTGGGTGGCTCATAAAGCCGGGAATTTTC